CTGCACAGGAAACCTCTCTCCCTACTTGATGCCATATTAAAGACATTGGCAGAAAATACATGGCCTTTTCACTGACCAGTTTGTCAGTTTCAGGTTTGGTGCCTTGGTCAGTTCAGAAGCTGCTTCACTGCCCAGCAGGCAGTGGAAAAATGTACTTTCAGCCCACATGAGGGAGTGCAGCATGTGATGAGTGTGTGGTCCAGCTAGACTGCACCTTTCATTAACTGGGTGCTTCATTCCCTGCTTAGCTAAAACACTTGACTGACTAGAATAAAGGTAAGACTCTTTAATAACACCAGTGAAAGCAGCAGGAGTATGAAGGCCTCTGGTCAAGTACCTTAATCCCAGGTGTGTGGTCTGATTTCTTTATACTCCATTGTTCATTGTTTATAAGTCACACAGTTGATCTTTTGAACTTGTGTCATCTTTTCCTCTGAATCCCACATATGGAAGTTACCTGCAGACCTGATTTCTGGGCTTTTGTAAGCTTGTTGTTTCAGATCAGTCACACTGGCTGACATTGGAACATCTGCAGGTCTCCCAAACAAGAATAAATAAGGTGGCTGTGTCATTAAAATGGTTCCCCCAAAGTACCTAGTGGGAGGCTGCTTCTGAAATTGCAAGGCATGCTTTACTGGCCAGTGTAGGAGCAGGCTTGCCCTGGAGTTATCAAAGATGGAAGAAGTCAGACAGAAAAAGGATTCAGTTCCTGCAAAATATCATATTGCTTACCTCATCTAGTTCTAGCTACGTGCTGGACACAGCAAGAACGTCATGTTTCCTCTCAGCTCGTTTCTTTGAGTGTATCTCAGCCTTGCTTTAGTCGCTTTACCATGCTCTGGTGTGTCAGAAGCACTTGCCTTAACAGCTGCACAGATACGGCTACGTGACAAATTCCAGGGTGAAGTTCGTTATGGTGGTGGATTCTTCAAACACAGCGCTTCGAGACAATGAGATCCGCAGTGTAAGTGCAGGACATGAGAGCATGACTTGTCACATCAGTGGTTTTACTACTTCTACTTATTCATAAAGTGCTGAGAAGCAAAAAAGATTAATTAATCTACAATCCCTTTTCAGATGTTCCGGAAGCTGCACAATTCATATACAGACATAATGTGTAACCCCTTTTATAACCCTGGGGACCGCATCCATTCCAGGTGAGTTGACCACACTGATTTTTGTCATCTTTCTGGAACTTGCAGTGTACCCATGATGTAATAGCACCAAGAGCCTAACCCCTGTGGCTGACCAGTTCAGATCTGCATGCTCTGGCTGCCTAGATGGGAAGAGGTGTGTTGCCTTTGGGCCATTACCATGTAACAGAAAACTGATAGTCTCATGCGTATCTCACTTCCACCTCAGAACTGGTGTTAGGAACACTGACACGAGAAAATTTATTTCTTGGAGAGAAAAAAAAAAAAAAATCACCTGTTTCATAGGTGGCGTAAATAAACAGAGGTAGGTAAAGCAGGTTAAAGAGTGAACAACTGCACTTGTTCAGGGCTTGGCCTTGAGTAAGGACAGACAGGCATTCAGCACGTGTAATTCCTCACAGGGGAGGGCCAGTGCCCCCCATTTCTTATCTGTAATGTCTTTAATCAGGGGATTTTAATATTGTTTGGAGTTTCTGTTGCCTGGGCAAGAACAACTTTTTACACTTTGCTGAGGCAGATCTGAAGCCAGGGTAAAACCTGTCCTTACTTGAGCTTAATTGAAAGTCATTACTTACCCAACAAAGCACAGTTAAAGAATAAAACAATGCACTTAGCTAGGGAAAACCAGCTTGCTAACCAGCAAGAGGCACTGTTAGCCATTGCCTTTGTTACAATAGGTGTGCTGTGCAGAACTAGCTCCTTCCTCTAATATTCTGTGTTCATTCCCTTTTTTAGGGCTTTTGATAATATGGTGAACTCCATGATGATGCAGGTGTGCTGAAGCTCTACCCCTTCTTATCCACGTGTTGAGGACATCCCCCGTGTACAGGAGTGTGCATAAAGTGATGTATATATTGTCTTCGTTCTGTGCAATATTTTATTCTATGTAAATAAACTGGACACCTGCAAGGTCTGCATGCATTTCAGCTCCAGCAAACCCGAGTATAGCACAGACATCACTGTTCAGCTTTATGCCTTCAGGCAACATGTGAGAGCCAGCTCTTCCTTCAGGAAGGTCAGCTTGTGTCAGATAGGTTTGTTCCCTACAGAAATGCGTGCAGCTGTGCCTCTGTGCAGCTCAGATGTTTCTGTAGAAATTGGGCTTTGTATAAAAACAGCAGTTCCTGCTGTGCTGGTGATTAGAGCAAGAACAGCTGCACAAGAGGCAACTAAGTGATGATTATTAGGTCAACCTAGATTTCAGTCAGCTGAGACGCAAAGAGTGACACTGTTCCTCAGAGGTACTGGTGCTTCAGAGCAGTTCCTCTGAAGCAGGACGAGCACATCAGCCACAGAAGTCCTTTTGCTCTTTGCCACCCCCCTTTGCTGCTGTTCAGGACTGTTCATTCTGACAGGAACATCACAAGCAATACTCAGTTCAAACATACTTGGGCCTTTGTCCAGTTTTCCCTGCTAGGAGCACTCAGATCTGTAGGCAATGCTCCGTTAGTTCTTGGAAAGAGAAAACTCTGCAAGTCAGCTGAGGGCTTCAGGTTTCTTTACAACCCCAGGCCACTGTTTACATACTTGAGAGAGCTCTGCAGATAGCAAACAGCTGGTCTCAAAGCACCACCTTGAATCCAAACAAACCCTGCACTGATCTTGCCTTCCTGGGGAAGGTCTTTGGGTGACTTGCATTTGACAGCACCTCCTGATATCTCTTCACACCTCATTCAGACAGGCCAAGCACACTGAACAGCTATTTCTAGCCCAGGTCAGGGAGCACAGGTAGCACAGCTGGGATAAACCCACACAAAGAGATTAAGACAGTATTGCACAGCTGCCTGGCTCATCCCAAACTAATCTCTATTAGCATCTCCTCCCCCTGCAGCTTCCTGCTGTTCTAATTAAAGACTGCCAAATCAATACCAGGTATTTATATAGGAAAAACCCCACAAACTAGGCTAGAAAAGCTTCTTAATTGCTTGTGCAATACACTCAACACTACACAAAGCTATGCAGCTACAGCATGTTCAGCATAACAGGTAACACAGGCAGGCACAGGCACTGAGCAGCTACTCTGTGCCTTTCAAACACCTCTGCTCCAAGTACATCCTGCCCAACATGCAGCAGTCTGTGCTCAAGCATCTAATGAGTTAAAAAATACATAATACATAAGATAATGATAATTAAATAGTTGCACAGCTCCAAAAGATACAAGAAGCCTGGAGAAAGCCAGGTCAGCATCGAGTCAGCTCCAGTCTCACAGTATATGAGGTTCAACTAGCAGGATAATTTATTTTAAAATAAAGTGACATTTACAATACCTTCTCACACAGAACTTCCGTACAGTTAAATCAAAAACAACCTGTCAGATCATCAGAAAGTGTTGAAGCTTCTCCCACCATCTAAATAAGGCACAGCTGCGCACTGCTATTCCAAAACATCTTCCTGTAAATCTTCACTCTTTTCACTTCAGAGTGGGAGTTCAGCATTTCCTCTAACACAAGAGAATCCAAACAAACACCCAAAAGTAATTTTTGTTTAAAAAAAGAAAAAAAAAAAAAAAAAAATTTACAAAGCCACTAAACTGAAAGTTTAAAGCCTAGAAAAAAAACCAACTACTTTCAGTAGTACTAAATAATACTAGTATTATCTAAGTCTAAACTTAAGCTGTAGCTCAGATCAAGGCCAGTGTAGGCAAAAGTACAAAATCAACACAACATCAACAGTTAAACCCCCAAGCTTTCAAGCAAACAAACAAAATCCTTTTAGAGTTAAAGGGGGGGAAATCAGTGGGAGTTTTAGCCTGGCAATGCCCCCCAAGCTGTGAAAAGCTGCTTTAGGAATCAGTCACATTGGGGTTGGAGGAATCCTAGCCAAAGATTAGTGTGAGAATTACATAATAAAACCAATTTTTATGCAGAACTTCGCTCAGCTGGGCTCACACCATTCCCACCCAGGGAATCCTGAGCAGGAATAGTGATGGGAGCGCAGAGGAAGATCAGACCAAATTTGCAAGAGTGGAGATGATTTTGTGATGCTGCTACTGCTAGAAATAAAGTAGAATGATGAGTTGGCAGCGCCCACTGATCCCTATAGCTTTGGAATAAAAGCAGGAGCAGGGACAAAGGGGTTGTTGACTTCTGAAATAAAAGGAAGGAAGGGTTTTGCAACACGCAAGTTTTGTTTAAACCCAGAGGTACAGAGGCTTCCACAGAAACAGCAAGGGATGTTTTCCCCCCTTCCCTAGTTGTTAGATGTACAACAGCAGCAAGCTAAAAACCAGACACAAACCACGTAACTGGCTCCATCCTCTTCCCAAGAGGAAGGTCAGAAATCCACAAGGCTGATGAACGAAAGCCTCCCCAGGAGACAGATCTAGAGCTCCAACCCAGGACTTTCTCCACTGATCTGGAGAAAAGGAGAGTCTTTGGAAAGGTCTTTGGGATCTTCTTACAAGCAAGAGAAAGCAGCATCCAGCTTCTGTGGAAAACGCTGGCAAAGCTGAAGGAGCTTCACAGGTTGAGCATCCTCAGTGGGTTGGAGGATATTTGGATAGCTAGAAGCTAAACCAAACCTTCTAGTGCAGCCCTTTTCTATGGGATGAGAATGAGCCTTGATGGTTTAGGAGAGCTCTTCCCTCCTGAGGACAGTGTAGTCTGGAATAAGACTGTACTTGATGAAAACAAAATCCTCTAAGCAAAGCCAAGGTGAGTCCCTTTGGGATGCTGTCAGGACACGTGGATGGAGCAGATCCAGTCTTCCCTCCCGCAGCCTGGCACACAGCTGCCTCACCAGTAATCCTCACAGCCAGGCAGATGGCATTGTTCATATTAATCTTTTTTGGCTAGGCATGTTTTTAAATCTCCCCAATCCCATCTCCTCATTTCAGGCCCGTCGGCATCACCAGGGCAGTCCGATCCTCTCTAGTGTGTACCAAGGCAGCAGCTTCGCCCGACCCCTAAAGTACAACAAAAACAGCATCCTTGAAGCACAGGGTCATTGCTCAGCTGAGCTGTCAACTGTGCCAAAACCAGCTCGTTCACCTCTCCAGGAGCTGGATTCACCCTTCTGCCCTAGCTAACCTAGACTGAACCCCAAAGCCAGGCACAGCGTGATGACCACTCAAATCCCTGCAGGGACAGCAGCAGATTTCCAGGTGCTTCTTTCACCCCCAAAGTTCTTATCCACTTCCTCCCACAGTGCCAGAGGTGCTGGGGCATCAGTGAAGCTAATCCACAGTGAGCTCACAGATGTATGAGCAGCAGGAAGTGTGTCAGAGAATAGCTCCAGGCCAGCGTTGGGGATGCAGGGACAGCAGCGTGGATGGGTCTGCTGTGCCATCACTGTGCGCTCACTTCGGTCCTTCCCCCTCCCAGCTGCCCACAGGTCCCTGCCAGGCTCCTGCCAAGTCCACAGGCACTGGGGTGATGCAAACAGCGCACGATGGGCAGGAGATGTTTCTAGCACAGGTCTCCTGCCAGAGCCCTTCTCCTTCCTCCAACCCATTCCAGCTGCAAAGCCAAGAAGCTGAGCATGATCGGAGCAAGGGGCAGCTACCTCCATCCTGGAGACACACGGGTCTTAACCCAAAGACACAAGAAACCCCCCACTCACATGTATGTCCTCCCTTGCGCCCTCGAGTACTGCTCTTCGTAGTAGCCTCCCCACTGGGCCAGCCCTCCCCAGGCTTGGAAGTGGCCCTGGTAGCCCCCACGGTCAGTGGTGCTGATGCCTGGCATGTTGGTCCTCTTGGGCAGCACCTGGAAGGCAAGGAGTAGCTCAGCCAGTGCTAACATTCAGCACAGGCCCATGCACATGGGGCTGGGAGAGATGCATGCAGCACCCCAGGGTGCTGCTTACCCTAATGACACGGTCTCTGAACAAGCTCTCATCTAGCTCCATTGCAGCATTCACAGAGCTCTTCTCCTCAAACTCAATGTAGGCATACCTGCAAGGGAATGGGGTGAGCAGAGCCCCAGGGATACCCTGCTGCTCCCAAACGATGGGAAACACAGGGCAGCACCCTGGAGACCCCAACCCCAGCAGAGCACAGCACTGACCCTTTGGGATGCCCTGAGAACTTGTCACAGAGGATGGTCACTCTATTGATCTCCCCGCAGCTGCAGAAATAAGCCTCGAGCTCTTCTGCTGTGGCCCCATAATCCACCTGCAACAACAGTCTCAAGCCCTCCAGTGCCACCAGCCAGCCCCCCATAGCCTGTGGGTCTGCATTCACACACCATCACTGAGACTAAGGAACCAGCTGACCCCTCTCACACCATCTCCTGAGGTTCAAAATGCCCCATCCAGGTGAATGCTCCAGCCTGGAAACCCAAACCCAAGAGACAGCCTCCCTGGCTTTGAGGGCACAGGCAACACCACAAGCCCAGCAGCTTCCAGCAGGGTATTCTGGGGAGCTGACACTCAAAACAGATTATCTGCAAGTGGTTGAAAATCACAAGCAGATGCTGAGCCACATTTCCAGTCTGGGCTGGGCAGAGAAGAAGCATCTGTGATGGGACCAGCCAGCCTTCAGTGTGGGCTGGATGGGCCTGTGTGAGACATCTCGGACATACGTCCAACTGCATCAGGAGCAGGGAAGATGAGTTCTGCTCCAGGGTCTCCCACTTACGTTGCCCACATAGATGGATCGTTGGTCAACCTCTGTCTTGTCAATGATACTCCTTGAGAAGAAACCTGCAGAGACAAGGGTTGCTTTGTCCTGATGGAGGAGGTCTGCTCCCAGCACAGTCACCACAGAGCTGACACGCTGTAAAGCTCCTCAGGTCTCCAGTCACATCCAGGCATATCAAATCCCCACACTGCTGTCTCTGCCTCCTCCTACTCCATCCCCTTGCCCCCTTTCTGTTCAGAAAACAACCTATACCCCAGGGTAACTGCTCTACTGAGGCTGTCGGTGCTAAACCCAATTTATTAACTGAATTAAATGTGATTCATTTACTGCACCTTGACCTGCACAGGTAGGAGGTGAAAGTGGATGTAACCTGCATTAGCACCATGCCACACCTGGAACCCCATCCCTTATCCACCTTCAATGTCCAGCCCCAGGCTGCCCAGAGAAGCAGAACCACATGCTCTGGCTCCAGCTGCCACCCTGTGCCCCAGTGTTGTCCCTGTGGGGAACAGCAGCACCCAGGGACAGCCCATACCTGCCTCCAAGTCCCCGGTAAAGCTGCTCTCAGCTTCCATCTGAAGCTCCCTCATCCACTCAGCCTCTTTCTCCATCTCCCGCACTCTGGCTTTGATGGCCTCCAGTTCCTGAAACCCCAACCAAGACCTGGGTGAGCAGCGCACGGAGCAGGGACACCCTGACCCCTTTCTCCGCATGTACAGCATGCACCTCCACCCGCAGTGCCTTCCTGGGCTGGGGACAACAGCCTGTCCCACAAAAGGGGAGTTCATCTCCCAGCTCCACTAGGGACTAAAACCAGAGAGAAGTATTTCCTTTCACGTATTCGCAAAGCAGCATGTGCTGCAGCAGAGGTGCCAGAGGGAACCGGAGATTTAAGCAGATGAACAGGAGCCATTTACTTTTGCTCCCCCTGGAAGACATCTCAACAGTGAAAGCTAAACAGCAGGAGAGTGACAATTCAATCTTCAGCTTCTCAGCTCAGGGATTTTAACATCAGGGGCCCAAGACTCCTAATTTTTGGAAGTGCTAGAACAGAGGCGTAGGAAGCTTCGCATTTCCTTAGAGAAACAGAGAAAACTGACTCCACACTCAGTCAGGTACTCACTGGGTTCTGCAGAGCCAGCTCCTCCGTGCTGCCCCTCTCCAGGTGACTTGAGTCTGAGTTGTCATCTGCAGCCTTCTGCAGAGCTGCCATCTCTGCCACATCCAAGGATGCCTCCATTGCTGCCAGGGACAGCTGGTCCTGCCACCAGATCCCTGAAGTGTCCAGGAAGAGAGGACTGGGCAGGAGGAGAGGCAAAAGGCCATTTAACAAACAAGCACACAGCCATTTAATGCAGAACTAAAGTAGAACACCAGCTGTGCAAGGGCTTTATGGGTGCTTCTAGCAGAAGGATGAACACCAAAGCAGTTTGCTTTCAGTGCTGCAGGCAGGCTTGCAGCAAGTCCCCAGAACTAAAGGAGTGAGGGCTACTGGAAGGTCTCCAGTTCATACCAAGCCATTTCCCAACTCAGGAAAGCTGCAGAGGGGAACAGGAAGCACCTCTCCCTGAGTGAAAAAGGAAAAGCAGGCACAGGCCAGCAGGAAA